TCCCAACATTCAGAAAACAAAATATGTTATCAGTATAATAATATGACTGGTTGATACCTGGTTGATGGGGTTCTGGGAGTTCGTCTACTCCCCAAGCCCGGCCCGAGGCCAGGCTCGACTTGTGAGAGTTTGGTCCACCAGGCTGTTGCTTGGAGCGGCCCGCAGGCCCACATACCCACCACAGCCCGGTTGGTCCGGCACTCCTTGGAGGAATAAATCTAGTTTCCTCTTGAAAATGTCCACGGTTGTTCCGGCAATATTTCTTATGCTTGCTGGGAGGACGTTGAACAACCGCGGACCTCTGATGTTTATACAGTGTTCTCTGATTGTGCCTATGGCACCTCTGCTCTTCATTGGTTCTATTCTACATTTTCTTCCATGTCGTTCACTCCAGTACGTTGTTATTTTTCTGTGTAGATTTGGTACTTGGCCCTCCAGTATCTTCCAGGTGTATATTATTTGATATCTCTCTCGTCTTCTTTCTAGTGAGTACATTTGGAGGGCTTTGAGACGATCCCAATAATTTAGGTGCTTTATTGCGTCTATGCGTGCCGTATATGTTCTCTGTATTCCCTCTATTTCAGCAATCTCTCCTGCTTTGAAGGGGGGAAGTGAGTACTGAGCAGTACTCAAGACGGGACAACACAAGTGCCTTGAAGAGTACAACCATTGTGATGGGATCCCTGGATTTGAAAGTTCTCGTAATCCATCCTATCATTTTTCTGGCTGTCGCAATATTTGCTTGGTTATGCTCCTTAAACGTTAGGTCGTCAGACATTATTATTCCCAAATCCTTTACATGCTGTTTTCCTACTATGGGTACATTTGATTGTGTTTTGTACTCTGTATTATTTTTAAGGTCCTCATTTTTACCGTACCTGAGTACCTGGAATTTATCACTGTTAAACATCATGTTATTTCTGATGCCCAGTCGAAAACTTTATTAATATCAGCTTGAAGTTTTTCAATGTCCTCAGCCGAGGTAATTTTCATACTGATTTTTGTGTCATCTGCAAAGGATGATACGAAGCTGTGACTTGTATTTTTGTCTATATCTGATATGAGAATAAGGAAAAGCAGTGGTGCAAGGACTGTACCCTGAGGTACAGAGCTTTTCACTGCACTTGGACTAGATTTTATATGGTTGACAGTTACTCGCTGAGTCCTGTTTGACAGAAAACTGAGTATCCAGCGTCCTACTTTACCGGTTATTCCCATTGACTTCATTTTGTGTGCTATCACGCCATGGTCACATTTATCGAAGGCCTTTGCGAAGTCCGTGTATATCACATCAGCATTCTGTTTCTCTTCTAATGCCTCAGTGACTTTGTCGTAGTGCTCAAGTAGCTGTGAGAGGCACGATCTTCCCGCTCGAAATCCATGTTGGCCTGGGTTATGAAGGTCATTGGTCTCCATGAAATTGGTGACCTGACTCCTAATCACTCTCTCAAATACTTTTATGATGTGCGATGTTAGTGCAACTGGTCTATAATTTTTTGCCAATGCTTTGCTCCCTCCCTTGTGTAGAGGGGCTATGTCTGCTACTTTAAGTGCATCTGGTATCTCCCCCGTGTCCAAGCTCTTCCTCCACACTATACTGAGTGCCTGTGCTACCGGCACTTTGCATTTCTTTATAAATATTGAATTCCATGAGTCTGGACCTGGGGCCGAGTGCATGGGCATGTTTTCAATTTCATTTTCAAAATTTAGTGCGCTCGTGTTTATATCAGTTATATTTACCGGGGTTTGAATATCCCGCATAAAGAAAATGTCTGGATCTTCCACCTTCATGTTGTTTATTGGAGTGCTAAACATGTCCTCATACTGCTTTTTTAGGATTTCACTAATTTCTTTGTCATCCTCCGTGTATGAACCTTCACTTGTACGAATAGGTCCAATACTGGCAGTGGTTTTTGCTTTTGATTTCGCATATGAGAAGAAATATTTGGATTTTTCTTTATTTCCTGAATTGCTTTCTGTTCTAACTGCCTTTCTTCAGTTTCATATGAGTGTTTCAATTTCCGCTCGATTTCTTCAATCTCCCTATTTAAATTATTCCTTCTTTGACGGGAAATTCGTGTCTGCATAAGCAGTTCCGTTATTTTTTTCCTGCGTTTATAGTGTCGTCTGCGTTCTCTTTCTACGTTAGATCTTTTTCTGGCTTTCCTCAAAGGAACATGTTTCAGACAGACTTGATACGCTTCTGAAGTAAGTTTTTCTATTCCTTCTGTAGGACTTGTATTATTTAGAACAGTTCCCCATGGAATGTTTGTAAGTTCCCTGTTTATTATCTCCCAGTCTATCCTTTTATTATTAAAATTGAATTTACTGAATAGCCCCTCTCGCTTTATCAACGTTTTAGGTCTATTCTGAGTATTGATGGTCGTTTGCACTTCAATGAGTTTGTGATCTGAGTATGTGGTATCTGATATCGTAATGTCTCTGATAATGTCTTCATTGTTCGTAAAGACCAGATCTAGAATATTTTCATTTCTCGTTGGCTCCGATATCTGCTGATTGAGTGAAAATTTGTCACAGAATCTAAGTAGTTCTCTAATCTGTGGTTGGTTAGGTCCTGATAGATTTCCTGGTATAATATTATTGTTTGCTATTTTCCACCTGAGACTAGGCAAGTTGAAGTCACCTAGGAAAATAATATCAGGTATCGGTTCTCCAAATTATCAAGGCTATTCTCTATTTTGCTTATCTGTTCTGTGAATTCCTCAGCCGTTGCATCTGGCGGTTTGTATATTAGTATAATCACTAAATTTATTTTCTCTATTTTTAATCCCAGTACCTCTACCACCTCATCTGTAACGTTTAGGAGCTCCGAGCATACAAGGTCTTCCCTAATATACAGACCCACTCCTCCATGTGACCTAATTTTCCTATCACACCTGTATAGGTTATATCCTGGAATCCAGATCTCACTGTCCAACAATTCCCCTGCATGGGTTTCTGTGAAAGCTCCAAATACTGCATTTGACTCCGTGAGGAGGCCATTTATGAACTGTACTTTGTTGTTTGTTCTTGTTTTCAGTCCTTGTATGTTGGCAAAGATGAATGAGGTTACTCTATTAGTGATAGTTTGAATGGGAGACTTTTTCGGCACGTCCATTAATCGTGGACATAATGAGTTTGTTCTGACCAGTACTGATTGTTGTAGGGCAGTTTTCTGTCGTAGTTGTAGTTCCCTTTCGGTGGATAATTGTATCTGTAATTCTGGAATGTCAGTGGATCTGGCATCCAGTTCCATACACTCTCCATGCTGCTCCTTTTGAATTCTCTGCCGGTCTGGTATAAAAAATTTATAGAGTTTCCTCCAAATTCATTATCCTGCTTGCCACTCTTTATGTAGCGTTCCGTGCCTTTCACGTGAAAGTGTGGGCAGCTAAGGTCATAGCATTTTCTGTCCTCCAGTGAGGTTTGGCACATGTCAGGATGGAAAAACCTACATATTGATCCAAATCGACACTCACCTTTCCTAAGCATATTTAAACATTTTTTGGGATGTTGGTAACTGCATTCTAATCCTTTCTTATTACCAGCATATCTATGTCTGCATATGCCCTTTGCATAAAATTTGCATAAGTCTGTCCTTCTGTTCTGAATTGCTCTATCGAGAACCGTCGTGGTGTCTGTACCTATCGAGCTGTCAGTGCTGTCTGGTACACTTTCTAGTTTACTGTCATCTACATCCAGGCCTACTGAGTCAGAGTTTGCAACTTCCTGAGTTTCAGCCTCAGTTTCATCCCTGACTATAGCCTCCGCCCTTGTATATTAGAATTGTTGTTCCTTTCCCACTCCTTCTGGATGGCTGGTAGGCTTCCAATGAATGATGTTTTCCGATCATGCGTCATGTTATCTAGAAGGTTTTTTAGGATATTCCAAGCTGGCAGGTCATTTTTACACACCAGAGCAAGTGGCCATCTCTCAGTGCCGTAGTGTTACTCACTCCTGTACAAGCTGAATGGAATCTAGTCTTACAGATATAACATTCAATTCCCGTTACCTTCGTCTTTAAGAAGTTGTTACAGTGGCCACAAATTTGTTTATTTACTCCCATATTGCCTTGTTTTGGTGTATATATCTATATATTTATAATATTATATGTATATTGTATATTTGTAACAATACATATGTATATATATTTATATGCTTAATATTTATAATATTATATGTATACCGTATATTTGTATTATTATGTATGTTATTTTGTTCAAACTTTCAAAGAATATCGAAACTTTCAAACTATCAAAGAATATCGACTAAGTGATATTCTGACACAGTACATCTTAGTTTTATCAGTGACGTAAAGAATCGAACAAATATTGAAAAACTAGTCTTGAATCCAACATTACTTACCAACAATTTCCAGGCCACATCATGGAAAAGTGTATGCTCAAATTCTACATGATCTGGAACCATCAATCTGAGACAACCACTCAACATTTTCACCAACACGTAAGCGTAGTGCGGTGCTGGGAACATACGGGGCTCACTTTAGCCCGTGCTACACGGACACTTCGTTCTGAGTAGCTATATATAACAACAACAACATTAGTTCCTCGCTAGCCAAGTATTTGATACCATCCCCTCAGTCCTGTACCACAGGTAGCCTCAGGCGTCAAACACACCAGCTTCCCTCATGCGCCTCTCTCCTTCCTCGCTGCTTGGTTCCAATACTTTCTTCTGTTTTCACTATTTACCTAAATATCCCTTATTTACTCACCGGGCTCTTATATTTCGCGACAATAGTAATGAAAATAAAATAGCATAATTTTCAAGCACTGCATTTTCGTTGTATATAATTTTATTACAACATTAGGACGATATTTATATAGTTTCCTAAGACTTCCAGTTACTAGGTGATGGTCACTTTGCGCATGCGCGGACGGGCTCTTAACACACGGCCGCCACTGGCGGCAATTTCCAACAGAGCGTAAGTGAAACGCTAATATTTCTACACTGTGTAGGGCAAGAATGTGCTACACTTGCAGATACCCATTCCTAAGAACAAGGACACTAGGGACTTTAACAACGGAACTGGATACCTTAACGAGGATACAGGGTACCATAACAAGGACACTGGGTACCACAACAAGGACACTGGGTACCACAACAAGGACACTGGATCCCACAACAAGGACACTTCACCCCACAACAAGGACACTGGGTACCACAACAAGGACACTTCACCCCACAACAAGGACACTGGGTACCACAACAAGGACACTGGGTACCACAACAAGGACACTTCACCCCACAACAAGGACACTGGGTACCACAACAAGGACACTGGGCACCACAACAAGGACACTGGGTACCACAACAAGGACACTGGGCACCACAACAAGGACACTGGGTACCACAACAAGGACACTGGGCACCACAACAAGAACACTGGGTACCACAACAAGGACACTGGGTACCACAACAAGGACACTGGGTACCACAACAAGGACACTGGGTACCACAACAAGGACACTGGGTACCACAACAAGGACACTGGGTACCACAACAAGGACACTGGGTACCACAACAAGGACACTGGTTACCACAACAAGGACACTGGGCACCACAACAAGGACACTGGGTACCACAACAAGGACACTGGGTACCACAACAAACACTGGGTACCACAACAAGGACACTTCACCCCACAACAAGGACACTGGGTACCACAACAAGGACACTTCACCCCACAACAAGGACACTGGGTACCACAACAAGGACACTTCACCCCACAACAAGGACACTGGGTACCACAACAAGGACACTGGGTACCACAACAAGGACACTGGGTACCACAACAAGGACACTGGGTACCACAACAAGGACACTGGGCACCACAACAAGAACACTGGGTACCACAACAAGGACACTGGGTACCACAACAAGGACACTGGGTACCACAACAAGGACACTGCCCTGGAAACACAAACCGAAACTGTCTCTATTTTCCGCTTGTTACAACTTGTAATAAAGTTGTTACATCTTGGCTTAACGTGTTTATGACGTATTAGAACGTTGTTACAACTTGTTATATTGGTTGTTATAACTGGTTAGAAGGTGTTGAAACTTGTTCGAACGTTGTACCAACGTCGTAGTTTCGGTGTGTGTTTGGCGGGTGGGTACCACAACAAGAACACTGGGTACCACAACAAGGACACTGGGTACCACAACAAGGACACTGGGTACCACAACAAGGACACTGGGTACCACAACAAGGACACTGGGTACCACAACAAGGACACTGGGTACCACAACAAGGACACTGGGTACCACAACAAGGACACTGGGTACCACAACAAGGACACTGGGTACCACAACAAGGACACTGGGTACCACAACAAGGACACTGGGTACCACAACAAGGACACTGGGTACCACAACAAGGACACTGGGTACCACAACAAGGACACTTCACCCCACAACAAGGACACTGGGTACCACAACAAGGACACTTCACCCCACAACAAGGACACTGGGTACCACAACAAGGACACTTCACCCCACAACAAGGACACTGGGTACCACAACAAGGACACTGGGTACCACAACAAGGACACTGGGTACCACAACAAGGACACTGGGTACCACAACAAGGACACTGGGTACCACAACAAGGACACTGGGTACCACAACAAGGACACTGGGTACCACAACAAGGACACTTCACCCCACAACAATGACACTGGGTACCACAACAAGGACACTGCACCCCACAATAAGGACACTGGGTTCCACAACAAGGACACTTCACCCCACAACAATGACACTGGGTACCACAACAAGGACACTGGGTACCACAACAAGGACACTGGGTACCACAACAAGGACACTTCACCCCACAACAAGGACACTGGGTACCACAACAAGGACACTTCACCCCACAACAAGGACACTGGGTACCACAACAAGGACACTGGGTACCACAACAAGGACACTGGGCACTGACTGGGCACACACACATCAGCACACACGCGTCCCGGGGCATCATTGGGCCAATCCGTCTCACTATATAAAGGTTAGCGAACACTGCCCACCTAATAACAGAGTAATCAAGGGAAAATTAGTCATTTATCTGCCATAAAAGCTATTTGGGAGAATATATACCCTCATGCTTCACTTTCCCTGTTCTTTCTCGCTGCGAAATTGTTGTTTATCGCCTCCCACCCGCCTCCGCCGCCCACTTCCGCCGCCCACCCTAACTGGGCCGCCCGTACCCGAGCTACGCCGCCCTCACAGACTCCGCCGCCCTTACCCCCCTTCGGGATCACCATAGCCCGTGCTACTTGGAACTTTTTGTTCCAGGTAGCGAATCTACAACCAAAACAATATTACCTCCTAGCTTCACCTGTTTCTGACATCTACTTCTACCTCTACCTCCCCATCTACTTCCTCTCGGAAGCTGTCTCAGTAGCGTGTGACACTGACAATAATGTGTGACAGTGAAGGTGATGTGTGACAGTGTCAACCTCAGAGTTACTTCCCCTAATGCTTCAGAGTTATTTATCGTGAAGACTCTGATAAACAGGAGCAGTAGCACCAGGGGCAGTAGCACCAGGGGCAGTAGCACCAGGGGCAGTAGCACCAGGGGCAGTAGCACCAGGGGCAGTAGCACCAGGGGCAGTAGCACCAGGGGCAGTAGCACCAGGGGCAGTAGCACCAGGGGCAGTAGCACCAGGGGCAGTAGCACCAGGGGCAGTAGCACCAGGAGCAGTAGAACCAGTGACAGTAGCACCATGTGTAGTAGCACCAGGGGCAGTAGCACCATGTGTAGTAGCACCAGGGGCAGTAGCACCAGGTGCAGTAGCACCAGGGGCAGTAGCACCAGGAGCAGTAGAACCAGGGACAGTAGCACCATGTGTAGTAGCACCAGGGGCAGTAGCACCAGGTGCAGTAGCACCAGGGGCAGTAGCACCAGGTGCAGTAGCACCAGGGGCAGTGGCTCAAGGGGCAGTAGCACCTGAAGTAGTAGCACCAGGGTCAGTAACACCAGGGGCAGTAGCACCTGGATGCAGTAGCACCAGGGTCAGTAGCACCAGCTACAGTAGCACCTGAAGTAGTAGCACCAGGGGCAGTAGCACCAGGGGCAGTAGCACCATGTGAAGTAGCACCAGGGGCAGTAGCACCAGGGGCAGCAGCACACAGAGTAACACCAGGTAGCACCATGTGCAGTAGCGACAGGGGCAGTAGCACCAGGGGCAGTAGCACCAGGGGCAGTAGCACCAGGGGCAGTAGCACCATGTAGCACCAGAGGCAGTAGCACCAGGGGCAGCAGCACCAGGAGCAGTAGTACCAGGGGCAGTAGCACCAGGGGCAGTAGCACCATGTGAAGTAGCACCAGGGGCAGTAGCACCAGGGGCAGCAGCACCAGGGGCAGTAGCGACAGGGGCAGTAGCACCAGGGGCAGTAGCACCAGGGGCAGTAGCACCAGGGGCAGTAGCACCAGGGGCAGTAGCACCAGGGGCAGTAGCGACAGGGGCAGTAGCACCAGGGGCAGTAGCACCAGGGGCAGTAGCACCAGGGGCAGTAGCACCAGGGGCAGTAGCACCATGTGAAGTAGCACCAGGGGCAGTAGCACCATGTGAAGTAGCAACAGGGGCAGTAGCACCAGGGGCAGTAGCACCAGGGGCAGTAGCACCAGGGGCAGTAGCACCAGGGGCAGTAGCACCAGGGGCAGTAGCACCAGGGGCAGTAGCGACAGGGGCAGTAGCACCAGGGGCAGTAGCACCAGGGGCAGTAGCACCAGGGGCAGTAGCACCATGTGAAGTAGCACCAGGGGCAGTAGCACCATGTGAAGTAGCACCAGGGGCAGTAGCACCAGGGGCAGTAGCACCAGGGGCAGTAGCACCAGGGGCAGTAGCACCAGGGGCAGTAGCACCAGGGGCAGTGGCACCAGGGGCAGTATCACCAGGGTCAGTAGCACCAGGAGCAGTAGCACCAGGAGCAGTAGCACCAGGAGCAGTAGCAGTACCAGGTTGTTATAAGACCAAGTTTAATTTCCTCATGTTTGCTGAAGGTACTATGTCACCTGTGTACTGAAGCTCTCAATAAACCCCAGAGACAGGGAACCTCCCAGAACTCAGAAAAAAAGGCAAGTGTAGTTCCGGTATGTCCACAAGTGACAGGTAGGAGGCTCTACATTACACACCTGTGTCACTGACGAGTGTCCACAAGTGACAGGTAGGAGGCTCTACATTACACACCTGTGTCACTGACGAGTGTCGACAAGTGACAGGTAGGAGGCTCTACTTTACACACCTGTGTCACTGACGAGTGTCGACAAGTGACAGGTAGGAGGCTCTACATTACACACCTGTGTCACTGACGAGTGTCCACAAGTGACAGGTAGGAGGCTCTACATTACACACCTGTGTCACTGACGAGTGTCGACAAGTGACAGGTAGGAGGCTCTACATTACACACCTGTGTCACTGACGAGTGTCGACAAGTGACAGGTAGGAGGCTCTACATTACACACCTGTGTCACTGACGAGTGTCGACAAGTGACAGGTAGGAGGCTCTACATTACACACCTGTGTCACTGACGAGTGTCGACAAGTGACAGGTAGGAGGCTCTACATTACACACCTGTGTCACTGACGAGTGTCGACAAGTGACAGGTAGGAGGCTCTACATTACACACCTGTGTCACTGACGAGTGTCGACAAGTGACAGGTAGGAGGCTCTACATTACACACCTGTGTCACTGACGAGTGTCGACAAGTGACAGGTAGGAGGCTCTACATTACACACCTGTGTCACTGACGAGTAGTACGATTAAAGTGCTGCACCAAGTAATTGAGAATAACTGAACACCTGAAGAAGTTACTACAATTCATCAGGGAATAAAACGTTAGGTAGACTGTATTTTCCTAGACTGTCAAAAGCATTTGTTATTGTTCCTCATGAAGAAGGAATCTGATATAACTGGGGATACAATGAACTAGGTAAAGGACTAGCTAGTGAACAAAAGACAAAGTCAGAAGGGTTTCGAACTGAAGGAATGTAACAAGTTTTCCTAGGGCTCGGTCCTCGAACCAATACTGCTCCTAATTTATGTGAATGATCTACCTGACGGTCACCTACCTAAGGAGGAGTGGGTGGCGGGGAGGAGGAGGAGGAGGAGTGGGTGGCAGAAAGGAGTGGGTGGCGGGGAGGAGGAGCTCGTGTATTGGGTAATGTTTGCAGACAATACAAATTTGATGAAGAAAGTAAAAACAGAAGACTGCAGAAAGTTACAGTAAGGACCATGACAAACTCCATAAATGGGCTAACAAATGGTTGCAAGAATTTAATTGCAACAAATTTAAGGCAATGAAGATGATTAAGGGAGAAATGAGACCAAAAGGTATCTACACCACATAAATAAAACAACTACAGGAATCAGAGAGAGAAAGATATCTGGGAGAGGATATAATTTTAATACTAACACCAGTGGCGCTCAAAGTGTCGTCGGCAGCAAACATTGGAACGACCCTTAGAAACTTAAATTAGGGCTCTTTCAAGGCAGTCTACACAACCTTTGTTAGACCAGTACTGGAATATGCAGCACCGGCATGGAATTCGTTGCTTATGAAGCGCAAACCAAAACTGAACAAGTAGACAGGTTTGAAACAAGACTGGTGCCAGAGCTAAGAGGGTTAAGCTCTGAGGAAGGGTTAAGGGGCTAGACCTCACAACCCTGGCGGACATAAGGCACAGAAGAGGGTCTGATCGCAACATACACGAGTCTGAGGGGACAGACAAGGTGATCAAAGACAGCCTCTCTACATGAAGAGATGGTAGAACAAGAGGACATGTCAGGAAACACTTGTGCCCTGTAAGGGCGGCCAACAAATGGTATGCGCTGAAAGAAGTTGTGGACGCCACCTCCATCCACAACTTTAATGCCAGATTCAACCAAAAATTTGAACGTGAGAATAATTAAATTATAACGCACCAGGCACCACATGGCTGGTAAGGGGAGCATGAAGAGCTAGACCTCACTGCCCGGTAGTCACAGGTAGGTAAGTACTCACAGGTACCCACCACCACCACCACTGCTCTCGGCACAGTATTCAAGAATATATCAGCCAGCATGGTTTAGTGCCCCGTGTAAGTCACGTAATTTCTGCGAGCACTCTGCAGCCCTCCCTCCCTCCCTCCCTCCCTCCCTCCATCCCTCCATCCCTCCATCCCTCCCTCTCTCCCTACCCTCCATCCTTACCCCACCCTGCACCCCTCCCTGCCCTCTCGTTGCATTTATTTAGGAGTTTGCTACATGTTGATGAGAAGAATGTATAATATCTGGCTCCTGATCTTCTGGCGCTCTCTCCTCCTCAGTATCTGTCTGTTTATAGAAATATATTTGACCATTCCATCATCTTGTTGAGGTAAATGACCCGGAGGAGGAGTGGGTGGCAGGGAGGAGGAGTGGGTGGCAGGGAGGAGCGGTGGGTGGCAGGGAGGAGGAGTGGGTGGCAGGGAGGAGGAGTGGGTGGCAGGGAGGAGCGGTGGGTGGCAGGGAGGGAGGAGTGGGTGGCAGGGAGGAGGAGTGGGTGGCAGGGAAGAGGAGTGGGTGGCAGGGAGGAGGAGTGGGTGGCAGGGAGGAGCTGTGGGTGGCAGGGAGGAGGAGTGGGTGGCAGGGAGGAGGAGTGGGTGGCAGGGATGAGGAGTGGGTGGCAGGGAGGAGGAGTGGGTGGCAGGGAGGAGAAGTGGGTGGCAGGGAGGAGGAGTGGGTGACAGGGAGGAGGAGTGGGTGGCAGGGAAGAGGAGTGGGTGGTAGGGAGGAGGAGTGGGTGGCAGGGAGGAGGAGGAGTGGGTGGCAGGGAGGAGGAGTGGGTGGCAGGGAGGAGGAGTGGGTGGCAGGGAGGAGGAGTGGGTGGCAGGGAGGAGGAGGAGTGGGTGGCAGGGAGGAGGAGTGGGTGGCAGGGAGGAGGAGTGGGTGGCAGGGAGGAGGAGTGGGTGGT